AAATTACTCTTCCTTCAATAAAAAAAACGCATAGAAATCACATTAAAATTAAATTAAAATAGATTAAATATAACAAAATATATTTTCTGAACCACTGAAAAAAAAATCAATGTTTTATCTTATTATTATGATATAAAATAAGTTTTTTTTTGACTAATTTACGGTTTTAAAGTGGTTACTTTGTGACTAATATAAATCTTATTTACGTCTTTATATTTTTTTTGAAAATATAAAATATATAGTTAATTTCGATGAGTTTTCATTCGAGAGAGATGATGAATATCTTTTAAAAATATAAAAACGTTTCACCAATTGCCGTTTTTTATTTGCAAATTCATGATTATTTTTGGAACTTTTGGTACTTTATTGTTTTTAGGGGATTAATCCAAAGTAAATGAAGATGTAATATGAAAAAATTGGAAAGAAACTTGACCCAAACACGGAGAAAATGAGGGTAATTGAATTTGAAGACCAAGAAATTGATGATGATGAGAATGGAAAATCAAATATGATTTGTTTTGGAAGGACGGAAATTCAAATTAGGAATTTGGAAAGAAGTTAAATTTGGAGAATCAACGAAATAAATCTCCGTACAAGAATTCCAAAATATTTAAACCAAATATTCTATTATCGATCATGTATCTCAAAATTGAACTGAAACCGTTGATGGACTCCCGTTTGAATTTCGGTTTCGGCTTTCCGCCGGGCTTCTCTCTTCTCCGCCACCGTCTGCTAAGTTTTCCGGTGACATCCCTCGTCCCGTTGAAATTGTCTCCGCCGCCTTTCGGTGAAGGAATCGCGGCGAAACGGAGATTTCCGGGGGCGAGACGTGGTCCGATTGAAGGAGTGAGCGATGAACTGAATCTGATAGCGTCCCAGAGCCTAGATCAAGCTCTCGCACGGCGGCGCGTGCGTTCCGCTTTCGTGGATGTGCAGCAGCGGCTTGATCACTGCTTGTTCACGGTTTCATTTAGAATTTTTTTAGAAATTTTGTGGGTTAAAACTTTTTTCTCCACCCCTTTCCGATTTACATCTTTGAATTTGTTTTCCATTGGAAATTTCCGAATCTGGTGACAGAGAGCTCCTACAGGGATCAGAACAGAGGAGGTAACGCCTGCGTTTATCTTGTTGTTGCTTGTTTGCTTCTAGAGAAAATCGTAGGAAGAAAGTTGAGTACAGTGAAGAAAATTGCTATAATCTATGCCATTCTCAAGGAGTCTCTCAAGTGTTTGATCAAATTCATGTGTAGTTAGATACTGATGCAGAGGTTATACATTGGAAAGTTGAGGCTGAGTAGATTTTTTTCCTTACATTGATACAGTGGTACGAGAGAAATTCAGAGGGAATGGACATTTTCTGCAAGAGTTGGTTGCCGGAACCAGACATCAGAATCAAAGCTTTGGTGTTCTTCTGTCATGGTTATGGTAGCACTTGCACTTTCTTCTTCGACGGTGTGTCTGATCTTTTTCCACTTGGGTGGCTCTCCATCGTTTTGTTTGTCTGAATCTTGAAATCTCGAATGTATTACTAAGACTCGTTCAAGTGATAAATTCTGAAAATTTGCAGGCATTGCAAAGCAAATAGCAGGATCTGGGTATGGAGTTTTCGCAATAGACCATCCTGGTTTCGGTCTGTCAGATGGTTTGCATGGTTACATCTCAAGCTTTGACAAATTGGTCGAGAATGCTATCGAACAGTACACCAAAATCAAAGGTTCAAAAGGAAACCCTTCTCCAGATTGTGCCTATTTGCTTTTGTATTTCTGTACTTTCATGTCAAATCTCTCGGGATGGTTGTCAGGGAGACCCGAGTTTAGAGGTTTGCCCCGGTTCTTACTTGGACAGTCAATGGGAGGAGCTATTGCCCTGAAAGTTCATCTGAAAGAATCTCAAGCTTGGAATGGACTTATCCTTGTAGCCCCTATGTGTAAGGTGGTGATTTTACCCATTGTCTTTCTTCCCATCATTCCTCATTTCCTTTGTCTTTATGAGCATATCATCCAAGTAATAAAAAGAATGGACTTGAAAACCTGTTTCTTCAAACGGTAAACGAATTTTAGCCGTCCAAAGAATCTCACTCGAAATATTTTTGTTAGTTTACGTGACCTTGAGTTGGACCCAAGATTGCAGAAGACGTAAAACCTCCTCCTCTACTCTTGAAGGCTTTGATCCTGATGTCGACATTGTTTCCCAAAGCAAAGCTCTTTCCAAAGCAAGACTTGGATGATCTGTTTTTCAGAGACCCCATGAAAAGAAAAACGGTGAATGCTAAGCATTATCACACACTTGAATGCATAGTTTGTTTGTTGGTCTCACATCTGATTCCTGTTCTCCGGTGACATAGAGTGGCTACAATGTGATCAGCTACGATGACAGAACACGTCTTCGAACTGCCGTGGAACTTCTCAATGCCACAAGAGACATCGAGATGCAAGCTGATCAGGTCAGGGTAAAAGTCCAAACGTTATTTCATAGAAAGAAGCAAATTCTCCAACTTTATCTTTTTGGCTTGCATTGCCAGGTCTCATTGCCGTTGCTGATTCTTCATGGAGCTGCTGATAAAGTGACGAGTCCCTCAGCAAGCAAGTTTCTTTACGAGAAGGCAACCAGCAAAGACAAAACCCTAAAACTATATGACGGAGGCTTCCATTGCATTATGGAAGGTGAATACGACGACAGAATCTTCGCTGTGATCAGCGATATCATCGATTGGCTTGACGCCCATTCCTCAGCAAAGAGAATATAATAATAACATCGGCTATACATATATATATATATATATATATTATATTCCAAACTCTCCCCTTTTTTACAACGTATGTCTTTTTTTCATCAAAGTTTGTGTTAAAAAATGGAATCATTTTATCGTTATATCTCTTTTTCTTATTATATTATAATTTAAATGATTTATATATTTATAAAAAAATTCATTAAGAAATATAGATATAATGATAATAAATAAACTAAACAATGTTTGACATAATATTATAATTATTATTATTTTCAAACATATCTATAATGCCTCTAGTGTGGGTCACTTAATCATGCTTGTGCATGAGACACAGGACGTTGGTCCTGACATTGTAAATTAGTTCCCCTACATATAAAATTTATCCTTCACCAGAAAAAAAAAAAAAACATAGCAGAAGAAAATTGTTTGCTATAACATTATGGTAAACAATAAGAAAAACCTATGGCGGCGCTCAAAAAAGCAATGATTTAACAATGGCCTATTTGTTTCCGAGGGGGATAGGGGGAGAAGTGTTAATCTTCTTAGATTGAGTCTGTGGTTCTCTCGAACCCAAATCTTTCTGTTCTTCTTCCCGGCTTCCTAGACTCTTGGTTTCTGTTCTTCTGTTATCCTTGTCTGGAGGCACCACTTGCAGAAGAAACCGATGAATCATCTCGTAGCTCGTGAATGTAATAACGGCCGAGGGAGTTGTCCTCAGTAGGTTAGTAGCGCAGCCACGGTAAAACCCGGGAATCCCTTCTTTTCGGAAAACTTTCTTGATGCAGTCTACGAGTCCAGAATACTGAACGGTGACATTTCTTACTTGTCCTTGTTCTTGAAGCTTGGATCGCACAACCTGGAGAGATTCCATAAACCATTGCTACTTCTGTAATTCACGGCCTGAGAATGAGATGGAGAGGACAAGAGCAGGGAAAGGGAGTGACCTCATGCGGGTAAGTCATTACAGAGGCGATTACTTTAGAGATCGAGGAGGAAATTGCAACATCCGAAGGACTCAGCTTGTCTACAGTTGTGTTACCTGGGAATTTTCAACTAAGCATTGATCAGAAACTTGGCCAGAACAGAGCACAGCAGAAACAATGAAACCATCCAAATGTCAAAGACGGGTTTTTTCGGCGGGTTATTCAAGTTACAGAACTGACCCAGATAGATAGATGGAATGATGGTCATGATTTACCTATTGTCGCCATGTATTGCTTGATCATTTCGTATGCAGGGAATTGGATAGCAACATGACTTACCCCCGCTAGCGAAGGTAAAATGCCACTGTTTCAACACAAATAACATAACTAATTCAACTAACGTCTGAAACATAAGCTCGAAACATGACGTCGCCATCATGTGCCGTCTGAAATCTAAGATTGAACGACCTAATTGCCCATCCTTCGTCAGACAGGTACTCAGATACTAATCCAAAAAATGGTATAAGCTATCTAAACTTATCGAAGAGTTGCTTACCTATAAAACCCTCGCAACCCTTCTTCATGACAAATCCTACTAAATGCAGACAGTACACTTTTGTAAGGAACAACATCCGGCCTCATTCCTTGTGTCTGAAAGAAAGAGGTAACCATGAAAAAAATGACATTCCAAAACAAATTTTATACGCCAAAACTGAAACGAAAAAGAACCAAAATATTAAAGAGTCAACAGTAAGAAACCAACATATCTGTAAAGCTTTGTTCATAGGAAGAGATTTACCATTAATCTCGTCTTGACGACCCAAAATGGATTAGTGGCAATAGCTGTGGAAGCCCCAGCACCAGCAGCAGCTATCATGTTAGCCCCAACACCAAGTTTCCCGTCTGCCCACGAAAATATTTACAATCAAGTTTCTTTTTTTTGGACAAAGATAGGATGTTTTTGTTGAGAATAGACAAAAACTATAAAGGATGCAAATACGGTAAATGATACCGCTTGACTGAAGTAGATCCTTTAGCTTCCCGTAAACCGTAAAGTATACCTGCGTATGAAATCAGAATATCTGTAACAAGGAAAGACACAAAGATCCCCAAGTGCACGATATATGAATTCCAAGAAACATAAAGATGAATGGACCTAATCTCAGAAAACCGAATTTCCAGCCCAGTGTGGGAGAAAAGTATGCCTCATTCATGTGGGATTAACACAAATTTCTGCATGCCAATCATCAGTAATTGGGGAAAACCAAAATGAAAATTTTCATTTAAAGATCCATGATTAACATCTTCAAGAATCAACACAAACCCTGTAAACTAAAGGCGTAGAATATTGGAAACTAAGATCTCCAAAAGGCAAATAAAATAATGAGCAAAGGAATTCTTCCATGATAGTGCCCTTATTTCAAGAAACAAAGTTAGAAGAACCGATACTCACAGCCCAATTTGGAAGGAGAGCTATTATGGTTGGTGAGAGCCCTCGATACAGTCCCCTAAAACCTTCGTTCCTTATTATATTCTGTAGGCTTGTTATAATCACACCACCTGATCATCAAGAGGGAACCATTGAACAAAGCCTGAGAACACCCGTAAGCATCAATCTAAAAACAGTTCAATCAATTTTCGAATCCCGCAAATAGGAAACAATGAGTAAAAGCTTTACATCCGGATTCCGAACTAGGAGCTGGCACAGACAACCTATTACTACTACAGCAAAGTATCCAATCAAAGCTCTAATTTCCAAGCCAATACAGATCAGAGAACTGATTTTCTTCAGGTTGTTATCGCTAAAACAGAAACAACCGACCAATGCAAACAGATTAAACTGAACTATTCAGGGAAGAACTTAGATATTTACCTCTTTGACCTGTTGGAGTTTCAGGAAGACCAAGAACCTGTAACCTTGTCTTAATCACATCCAATGGGCATACAAAGGTCGCAGCTATTGCACCTGAAAGTTCCCCCAATCAATGAACATCAAATAATCAAAACCAAACTAAGAAAGATGATCGAACAAACCGGCGGCTGCTCCGGCTCCAGCGTTGCAGATAACATCTCCAACGGCCCGGGAATCGCCGGAGGAATCCCCACTTCCACTCATCTCCACGGAATTAGACACTATAATCTCGATAACCCTATTCTAATCCCAGCACCAGATCCGCCAATTCATACGCTTTCATGAGTAATTAGATGCATATATACTCTTCTCGTCGTCGATGGGATTAACCCCGACCCGGGAAGAAAAGGGCCAACGAATCAAAAACCTTTCCGGGGCTAACTTGAAAGAAACGTATAAAGAACGCGACTTTCCCCAAGACCGAGTCTACTTGAACAGATTTGCGTGAGATTCAGGCATTCAACGAAACGAAGGAAAAAAGTGTTGATTTTATTTTCCCCAAAACCTGATCGAACGATTCCGAAGAAGAAAATTTTTCGCGGCGAATTGGAAAGTATGGAAAATCACATCAAAATACGACCCAAGAGAGAGCGAACTGTTCCTTACAATTCTCTCTCTGATCTGTCTTAATATGATGATGTTTGTGTTACATGTCCAGTCTAATTGGAAGTTGATCTAATTGGAGTTGTTACCCTGTCGATAAACACTGCATCCATAGAGCTGATTTCATTTTATCTGACAAACATATATTGTTTAGATCTTTTCCTTACGTTGGATTAATTAAATATACGACGCATTTTTTCTGGCAATACCAATGAATTCGGATTAATAATTTATTCCATTTATGTATAACAAGGACCTTAAACGCGTTCTTTTTTTATTATCCTAAGATTTATCATTTTTGTTTTTTGTAACTAAAATAACAAAAAAGTTCAGATTATTTGTAATTTTTTTTTTGTTGAACTAAGATGATCGTGTTGTGGAAAAATAATAGGTTCACTTGGAAAATGGCAACCCCACTTTTCCTAAGAATGGATTCGATTTCTTTTCGGCACGAGTTTTTCTTGTGATTTGCAGATTATTGCATTGCATTCAAAAGATAACAGTTAGGCTCTATGATATTAAAAAGAAAGTTGGAAAAAGATGACCATATTAAAGTGAAAAAACAATAGTATGCAGTAGACGTTATTATATATATATATAGGAGAGGATCTAGAAAATTTTATCATCGGATACAATAGTTATTATATATATATATATAACATAAAAAATAATAGAAATATATCGTTATTGTTGAAAACGAAAGACGAAAAACAAGAGAGAGATGCTCTAGAGAGAGAAAGAGCATGACAGAGAGAAGAGAATGTTCTTCGTATTTCGTATGTTACAAATGAACTACACTGACCTATTTATAGAGAAATATAAGAAACTTCTTCATAGTGAAGAAATGTCAGTTTCTTCATATTGAAGAAGAGTCAGCTTCTTCATAGTGAAGAAGAATCAGTTTCTTCATAGTGAAGAAGAGCATAATATGGGTTCCACTAGATAATATGGATCTCACTAGATGTCTACTTGTATATTTATAACACTTCCCCTTAGACATCTAGTATGGACTGCCTCGTTAAAAATCATATCATGGAAAAACCCTGTGGGATAAAAACCATGACGAGGAAAAAAGAGTACAGTCTTACAATCTCCCCTCGAACCAATATGCATACGTTTCTTCATAAACTTCGAAGACGACGCATTCCGATATTCTGAATATGTTTCTTGAATGTTGAAGTAGGGAGTGCCTTTGTAAATAAATCAGCTACGTTGTCACTTGATCAGATATAATGGATATCAACTTCCTTCTTCTTTTCGAGCTATTGAGTGTAAGAGAAGTACTTCGGAGGAATATGCTTCGTTCGATCATTCTTTATGTATCCTTCTTTGGTTTGGGCAACACATGCATCATTATCTTCGAATAATATCGTTGGATCGATATTAATCGGTAATCCACACGCTTCTAGTATATGGCGGGTTACAGTCCTGAGCCACACACATTCTCTACTTGCTTCATGAAGTGCAATAACTTCAGCGTGATTCGAAGATGTTGCAACCAATGCTTGTTTCTGAGAACGCCAGGATATTGCAGTACCTCCAATTGTGAAAACATATCCAGTCTGTGATCGGGCTTTATGAGGGTCGGATAAATAACATGCGTCTGCAAAACCGATTAGCTCAAGTTTCAAATCCTTAGGATAAAATAATCCCAAATCAATCGTTCCTTGTAAATAACGGAAGATATGTTTGATCCCTGTCCAATGTCGTCTTGTTGGAGACGAACTATATCTCGCTAAAAGATTAGTAGCAAACGCTATATCTGGTCGAGTACAGTTAGCAAGATATAACAATGCCCCTATCGCGCTCATATAAGATACTTCAGGACCGAGTACCTCCTCGTTATCTTCACAAGGGCGCAATGGGTCTTTTTCAATATTTAGGGATCTACAAACCATTGGAGTGCTCAACGGATTTGATTTATCCATGTTAAAACGCCTCAGAATTGTTTTTGGTATAGTTGGACTGATGAACAAGTATTCCACTAGGAAGATGTTCTATTTGTAGTCCAAGACAAAACTTTGTTCGTCCCAAATCTTTCATCTCAAATTCTCCTTTGAGATAATTTTGAGCGTTTTCAATTTCCGTTGGAGTCCTAATTATGTTTAGGTCATCCACATACACCGCTATAATCGCAAAGCCGCTAGCTGTTTTCTAGATGAACACGCATGGGCAAACGGGGTTATTAACGTATCCCTTTTTCAGTAGACATTCATTTAAGCGATTATACCACATACGTCCAGATTGTTTTAATCTGTATAAGGATCATTGTAATTTTATCGCATACGTTTCCTTGGATTTTGAGTTTAATGCCCCCGACATTCTCAATCCTTCAGGAATTTTCATTTATATGTCATTTTCTAATGACCCATATAAATATGCTGTGACAACATCCATGAGATACATTTCCAAATTCTTGGAAGTTGTCAAACTTATCAAACATCTGAACGTAATCGCATCCATGACTAGAGAATACGTTTCCTCATAATCTATCTCAGGTCTTTGAGAGAAATCTTGTGCGACAAGATGTGCTTTATATCTCATAATTTCATTATTTTCATTTCTCTTTCGCACAAAAACTCATTTGCATCCAACTGGTTTTACACCGTCAGGGGTTTGGATAATGGATCCAAATACTTTTCTTTTATTTAATGAGTCTAATTCTACTTTCATAGCTTCTTTCCATTTTATCCAATCATGTCTCTTTTGACATTCAGATACCGACATTGGTTCTGGATCTTCACTATCATTTTTTATTTCCTTAGATACAGAGAAAGAGAATATTCCATCACTATCATCTATCTCATTTCTTACCAACATCTTTCCATTATGGATGTAGTTGATGGAAATCTCATTGTCTTCTGTATTCTGAATATCATTTTTATCATTTTGATATTCAATATCTTTTCCCTCATTCGGTTCTTTTGGATCAATCTAAGGACTTGTTGGTTTAGTGCTCTATGATGTACTGTTTATGAGCTTTATTTAAATACATTTGATGTATTGATACTTTCTATGGTTTATGAGAGTATTTGATTCATTACATGTTCTTGCATACTAGATGTGTTATGAAATCCATGTATCATTATGAATGATACTTAACTCCCTAGTCTTGTGTCGTTATGGGAATAATGACATAATAAGACTAGTATGATGTCTGATTGATGATCACATAGATGATCATAGGTATTGGATATGATCACAATCATAGGTATTCGTTGGAGAACGAAATACTGGATTGACCCGCATGAGATTGTCACATGGACTAGCGTCATGACTTGAATCTCATATGACGGTTCCATGATTGGATCCTAAGACCTGAGATATCTACGGAATCCAACATGAGGAGTTGCGTACTTTGATTACGTCAAACGTCCTGCGTAACAGGAGGACTATAAAGGCGTGTATCAGATACGAAATGAATTATGTGCTGGATTGTAGATAGTCAAGACGGGATTTGTACCTCTCGTAAAAGAGAGAGATATCGCTGGGCCCCTCGTGTGAGCGAGACTGTAGAAATGTATGGCCGCACTATAGACGAACGTCGTCTATTTCAGACAGTCGAACTCAGTGAACGAGAAAGCAGTCGAATCAGATAAGGTGGCTTGTCCATGCCTTATATTCGACATATGATATCGTGATACAAAAGGATCATCAACCGGAATCATCACTGGCATTCGTAAGATCACGAACAAACTCTATTCGAGATAGGTAGTCATAGTGTCTTGCTAGAGACCGCCTATGACTTGTATAATCCGGAATAGAGATTTCGGGTTATACTGCTATATCGAATGAGCCTACAGGGTCACACTAGGTTGAGTTATCAAGTTTTGACTTGAGACTTAACGGTACAGATGAGACGAGTATGCAATGATATTTGATATCATAGTCTCATAAAAGGATCTGAGAGTCACATTGGATGTGATTGACATTAGATGTCTACCTAAATAGCGTAAGGATGAGTATAACAACTCATTCTTATGTGAAATACGGATCTTACTCCCATATAGAGAATTATTATAGGGTTATTTTTCTGTATGGGAATATAACTCGTTTTTGCATCTATGTTGTCATTGTTTGATGATGGACTAGCTGGTAGTAGATCATAGATATGTAGACACTGATTGATGATGGGCTAGCTGGTAGTTGATCATTAATAGAATCTGCATTTGTTTTGTATGTTCTGTTTGTCTTTTTGTAGGACATGGCGTCAACCGGTAGCGTACCGAGTTTGACAATGCGATCTATCCTTGAGAAGGATAAACTGACCGGGACGAACTTCTTAGACTGGTATCGTAACTTGAGAATAGTTCTCAAGCACGATAAGAAGTCATACGTCCTAGAAAGGGCTATACCACCAGAGCCTGCGGCCAATGCCACGAGAGCCGTAAAGGATGCTTGGCAGAAGCATCAGACTGACGACAATGAGATCTCCTGTCTCATGTTGGGAAGCATGGTCCCGAATCTGCAGAGG